AAAAATGAATCTACTTCACAATGTCGTCGTCGCCGTCAATTATCCTCCGCCGTTCTCCAGTAGCCGATGCCATCCGACAATCGACGTCCTGTCCCTACCGACACTATCGCACAAACACACACACGTACACACACACACACACACACGTTGAATATCGCAGACGGCGGACAGATCTGGCTTGTTGGCGACGACGGCGTGGAGGAAGGGACTGGGTTCTGTCGGGGAATTCTATGTCGCAGCCATCTCCGGTGACGGGCTGCGGATGCTCGGCGACTCAATTCGTGGCGGCAGACGGCGGCTGATGGTTGTATGCCGCGACTGTTCGCGACGGCAGTCATCTCCGGTGACGGGCGGCGGATGTACAACCGGAGTCTCCTGCGTTGCGCTTGGCGGCTGGTGGCGGAGGCACAACTGAGGCTAGAGGCGGGCTATTCTTCTGTATGTGTGTGTGTGTGTGCAGAGTGTGTGCGTGAGTGTAGTGTGTGTTTTGTGTGTGTTGTAATGTGAGATAAATAAGAGGGTTGGTAGGTACGTGAAAATTACAACACTACCCTCCTAAGTTTATTATTGACCAATATATGAACATTTAATTACAAAATTGCCATTGTAAGTTTGACTTTAATTACTAAGTTTTAACTTTATCTTGACCATTCATAAGATGTATCCAATAGCACAGATTTATTCTTATTTCTTTCATTGTGCTTCATCATTTGAGCGCACTTCTATATACATATATAGTAAAAAAAATCAAGGTGTTCTCTAGTTGTTTTAGTTAGTTATACGGGTAAAGGATTCGGTGGTTGCATCTCCGCCTTAGCCTTGTTGTTTGTCTGTTTGGTATCTAGACCACTCTTGGAGTGGCTCTCCCATGGTTGGGTTGTATATTTGTTGTTAGTTTGTTCGAACTTTGTTCGGTTTTTTGGTTATATATAAATTCTATCGTTGGAAAAAAAAGTCAATACTTCTTATGATCTCTTCTTTCTTATCCTATATATCCATACACTACAATAAAATGGTGAAATTCCAACGAAAAGTTCCAATACAAATATATTTTAATGGAATTCCAACGGAAATTGCAACAAAAATATTCCGTTGGAATGAGATTTCCATTGGAATTTCCGTTGGATTTTGACGATTCCAACAGTAAATTTTCCAACGGAGGTGGAAATAAAAATTCCAACGAAAATTACATATTCCAACAGAAATTCCTACGGTAAAAAACCGTTGGAAAAATAGCCGTTGGAATCATCAAATTCTATCTAAAATTCCAATGGAAATGTCATTCCAACGCAATATTTTCGTTGGAATCATTCTAACGGAAGTTATACCATTGGAATATCCGTTGAAATATATTATCGTAGGATTTTCCATTGAAATATAACAGTTTTTTTGTAGTGATATGGTATGGGGCAAGAGAGTTCTCCATTTCTCCCTCAATGAGTTTAATTTTGACTGCTTAAAAGCTTTTGTCACACAGCCATGCTGATGAATTTTTTGAACATTTTTTTTTTTTTTTGGCATTAAAGTTTTTTTAGACATAATTTTTCTTTTCTCAGTGAAATTTATTGTGTTTCTGGGTTGCAGGCATATTGATCACCTTTAATTTTCCAATCCCATAACATGGTACTCTGATTCTGATTCCCCAAAAACCCAAACAAAATTTTAAGTAATCAGAGTTTAGAATTTGTACTGATCAACTTTCAGATGCACATGAAATTCCCGTCACAGTTTGAGTACTGCAGACTCAAACATGGTCCCAGTTAACTAAAATTCGAAAGTTTTTTTCTATATTTATGAATTGTTAATTGGAAGTGGGAAAGGAAATTACAAACGCATTATAGTCGGAATATGTCCATTCATAAAGCTAGCTAGTCACTACTATGTTAGTGTAAGTACATAATTAATGTAGAAGAATATCAGGTAAAAGAAGGTTCTTGAGAACCCATTAAGACAAAAATAGATTATATTGAAGATTTGTACGGTGTATTCACTATGTGAAGAAAAATTAAAGCATTGATGCTCTCAATCTCTACAAAGCAACTTTTCATTTTCTTTAAGGAAAAAAAAATGTGATAAGAACGAACCAAGTTCTATTTTATACAGAATAGAACAGTTCATTTCCATATATAGCTATTTTGGTTGCTTAGAATAATATGTCAACCGTAACTTTAAAGCTGTCATTTTTTTTCTTTAATTTTATTTAATAAAAACAAAGGTAAATTAAATTCCTAAGCATTTATATATATATATATATCCACTCTATATACTTCCCACATCCACCATATCTAACTTATAACTATTCATACAAATTATAAATACAACTTTTTGTGTTCCTTATATCAAAGAAAATGTCTGGTGTTTGGGTTTTCAAAAACGGTGTAGTTCGGCTGGTCGAGAATGCTGGGGAATGGCATGGCAAGAAAATGTTGGTTCATTTACCTTCAAATGAGGTAATCACTTCATATTCTGTTTTGGAGAGTAAATTATCATCACTCGGTTGGGAAAGGTACTATGACGACCCTGACCTACTTCAGTTTCATAAGAGGTCCACCGTTCATCTTATTTCCCTCCCTAAAGATTTCATCAAGTTCAAGTCCATTCACATGTATGATATCGTCGTTAAGAATCGTAATGAGTTTGAAGTTAGGGATATTATGCATTGAAAAAAAAAAATGATTCGGTTCACTTTGTGTGTATGTGTGTGTGTTTGGTGAATATGAAATGTGTGAGCTAATTAATATCCCTTTGGAGATACATAATTGTTGTGGCAAGGATTTTTAACAAAGGGTTTGAAGGAGGTTTGATTTATTTTTTTTTTTTTCTTGTGAAAATTTGCATCCTTTGCAAAGAGCTACGTGGTGTGTTGTAGTATATATTTCGTGTCGAAATGAAATAAGTTTGAAATTAGAGAAGCTTGTGGAGTTTAACAAGGAGTGACAATGTTGTACTTTGTACTAGTTAATGTTGTGTGAGAAGCTTTGTAATTTTTGATTATTTAGTGTTATTTTTTATTTCTTGGAGTTTGTTAATGAGCAACGTTATAAATCCATTTGGGAGAACTTTGATGTACGTTGAATGTTTGATGTGATTGAAAAAAACGAGTGAAGAAAATCCATTTGTAGTGTGTTATTATGTAATGAGACAAAAATGTACAGTGTAAAGAATAATCTTTTGAGCGGTGTTTAATTGCTGTTATACAATGTTTTATTGAATTTTCATGTACAAGAAATCTGAAACAATAAGAACATCTCTAAGAGTATCTACCAAATACACGTCAGAAGATTATTCAGTAATATTATTACCGGGATTGGTTCAAATGCGGCAGCTTTTTTAAAGTGAGGACGTGAGACTCATTTTTAGCCACAAGATTTGGTACATCATGTGTGGTCAAAATTTACTCTTTTCTTTTTATTATTTTAGTTATTTAAATATATATTATTTTGACTTGTTGACTCCGGCATTGACCGTTGACTTCCGGGGAAATCCGTTGACTTCCGGCGAAAATCCGTTGACTTCCGGCGTTGACCGTCTACAACTAACCTTCCAACTAGCTAGGTTAGTTCTCTGTAGTTGTTAGGTTAGTTCTTTGTACTTGCTAGGTTAGTAGTTGCTAGGTTATTCTTTTTTTTTTAAAAAACAAGCAACGCCTCGGAAGGGCGAGGGATTGGGCTGGATCCCCAACCTGTGCATAGATCAAGACCCCAAAACGGGACCCAAAATATCAGCAATCTACAGATTCTCACAAACAAAACAAAAACTAACAATACAAAGTCTGTCTTCGGGCTAACATGTGCCCGGAATAAAAGTCTAATCTAATGAAAGCAATAACCTAATCTACTACAAGCGGAACGATGGATATCCAAGCTGGTCCATCCGAACAAGTGTGCGAAGGTGGAGTGGAGTAGTTGCTAGGTTAGTTCTTTGTAGTTGCTAGGTTAGTGCTCTGTAGTTGCTAGGTTAGTTGTCTGTAGTTGCTAGGTTAGTTCTACGTAGTTGCTAGGTTAGTTCTCTGTAGTTGTTAGGTTAGTTCTATCTTGTTGCTAAGTTAGTTCTAAGTAGTTGCTAGGTTAGTTGTCTCTTGTTGCTAGGTTAGTTCTATGTAGTTGCTAGGTTAGTTGTCTGATGTTGCTAGGTTAGTTGTGTCTAGTTGCTTGGTTAGTTGTCTGATGTTGCTAGGTTAGTTGTGTCTAGTTGCTAGGTTAGTTGTCTGATGTTGCTAGGTTAGTTATGTTTAGTTACTAGGTTAGTTGTCTGTTGTTGCTAGGTTATTTCTATCTTGTTGTTAGGTTAGTTATGTCTAGTTGCTAGGTTAGTTATCAGTTGTTGCTAGGTTAGTTCTATCTTGTTGTTAAGTTAGTTCTAAGTAGTTGCTAGGATAGTTTTCTGTTGTTGCTAGGTTAGTTTTCTGTTGTTGCTAGGTTAGTTCTCTGAGTTGCTAAGTTAGTAGTTGCTAGATTAGTTCTCTGTGGTTGCTAGATTAGTTCACTGTAGTTGCTAGGTTAGTTCTCTGTAATTACTAAGAGCTAGTCCCATTTTAAGAGTTGGGCGCATTTTAAGAGCTGGTCTCATTTGATCCGTCCCTATTATTACCCAATATAATTGCTAGCTAGTTTTAACTACCAAAATATGTAAATAGCTTGTCTGTATGTTCTTAAACTCCTTAATTAGCTAACTAAGAGCTGAAAATTACTTTTTTAGGGAGAAGGAAATAAAAAATGTCCCTCCATTGGCGTCCAATAGAGACATGTTATAATTACACAACTGAGTTCTTCAACCATTCAACAAAATAGTACGATGGAGAAAAAACTGGTCTATCTTTTATATTACGTACCTTAAAGAAGAGCAAAGATCCATATTACATACAATTATGTAAATCAAAGTGAAACGAACCTAAACAGTATGGATTTATCCAAAATAGTACCGGCTGTTGTAAGTTGTAACACAGTCGAAACCTTAATAATTATACTAAACTATTATATCTAAAAATAGAATTTATTATAAATAGAATAAGCAAATTAATACTTAATATTTCACCATGCATAATGATGTTTTACCTCCTCCAATTGCTTAAGTTAATTTTTTTTCCCTCCCTAGTTTAATCTTCCGCACTTACTTTTGCTTTAAGTGAATGTATTTTACTTTCCAATTTGTAATTCATTTTGGCAGATTCTTTAGCGCCCATACTTTTTGACAAAGACCTCATAGAGTTTGTTATTTCCACCCACAATTATTATTTTTATGGGAAAAATATGTGTTGATACCCGTTTACCCGTTTTTTACCATTAGTATTCACTTGATTAATTTTTGTATCCAACATTTCGTCTGTTGATAATAATATTAGTCACAACACTTAAAATTTCATTAAAATATGACAAAAATTCTATGAATTCATCGAATGGTTTTCTTATGAAGGCATCCACTACTTAGGTTGTCTTTGGTAAGCCAAATAAGCTACCTCATAGTTTATTTGGTTAGTTTATAAGCTCCCTGTATTCAAATAAGTCTCGTTTGGTAGAACGAGTTTTTTTAAAAAGCTCGAGCTTATCTCATAAGCTACTTTAGATAGCTTTTCAAATATGCTAGTTGATTTTTTATTTCAGCTAGCTTATCAGCTAATTTTTTTACCAAACACTTTTATCATATAAGCTAGTTTTTCAACTATAAGTCATAAGCTATAAGCTAAAAAATTACAAATAAGCTATAAGTAGCTTATCAGCTAGTTTTACCAAACATAGCCTTAATGTATTGACACATGTCCAAAATGCATTTTATTGAAAGACATATGTCAATACACTATTGGTGAATAAGTGTGGATCCTCCATAAGTCGAACCATCTGATGACTCCATAGCAAAACTGCGAAATATGATATGGCCAGGAAGTTTTCCGTGCTTTCCAGGACCTAGACATGGTCAGTGAACAGCCTGTTTTGGTTGATCCAGTTCAATTAAAAATAATAATAAAAAAGAATTACAAAAAAAGACTTAATCGGCAGTTCCAGTTTCGGTTTGAAACTAGCTCGATGGTTCAAAAATTATAAATATGTGTCCCTGAACCAACACATTTAAACCACAGACTCAGCTCAAGGCCCAATGACCACAGGCCGGTTCCGGGTCGGACCCGTGGCAATGTCTGCCAGAACCTTTCCAATTCGCCTAAAAAGATGAAAAACAAAACAAAACAAAACAAAAATCGGGGTTGTTTCTGGCGGCGGCGGCGTTTTTTACCTGAGCTCTGGTTTTGGATCGCCTCAGCCACCATGGGTTTCGAAAAGAAAAAAAAAAAAAAGAATCGGGGCAATTTGATTTCTTTCAAATTGGACGCAATCTGTTTTTGATTTCCTTCAAATCGGGGCAATCTGTTTTTGTGCCTGAAGTGTAGTCTAATTTTAATTCAAATTGGACGCCCTTTACATTTGATTTCTTAGTACTTTACAACATTTATGTGGATTGAATTCAATTTTCCCTTTCTTTTAACAACTAACTTATTCTACACCAATCCAACATAACAAACACAAGATAAAAATATTCCAAACAGTACAATCCCACAAATTTGGATTATTTTTCTCCAATCCTATCCCACCAAACAAACATGGGTAAAGTTTTAATTTGATAAGGCGGTATTGTATCTAATGAAATTAGAACAAAACAAAACTTCACCCATCAATTATGAAAATTCAAGTTGCTGGTAATCATCAATTGTAGCACGTTTGTTTAGGAAGATCGGATTAGATAATTTTTATCTAGGGGTCCAAGACTAAACTGTAGAGATAGTAGTACGTTTATGTTTGTTATCTTTAATTTACTCAAGATAAGATTATCTTCATATTTTGTTTGATGTGTTTGTTTCCCTAGATAAATAACAGGATTCAATGTACATTTACAAATTTCACCCTCATATTAAAATTCTTTATTTATTGCCACTTGCGAGCGAATTTTTCTACATGTCTTAATTACCTCTTATTTTTGTACAGGTTTTCTCGTTT